TGTCTATCTCTGGTCAAAATTGAAAAATAATGATAATAAATAAATAATAATAAATAATTCTTTTTAAATTTTTTATAAAATTTAAATTAATAATTTAGTAAAATTTGGGGCCAGGAGGTGGTGTGGTTGTTAATGTGCTGGATTCCCACATGGCTGACCATGGTTTGATTCCCGAACCTGGTGGCTTGCTTTCTCACTTTCCTCTCTCTCTCTCTCTCTGTGTCTCTCTCTGGTCAAATTAAATAAAAATAATAAATAAAACTGAACAAATAATTCTTTTAAAAATTTAGCAAAATTTAATATAATTTAAATTTAATAAAATATATTGAAACATACATATATATTTCCTGCAAAGTGTGATGAGGGGGGGTTAGTAGAAATTTTCTTTTTTTTTTTGAGAGGTTTTTGCTATAGGGCACGTGTGTGTGCCAAAAAGACAGAAACAGAAAGAAAAAAAAATCACCCCTCAGGAGGGATGGCCATGCCACAATCCCTTCTCCTCCATTCTCCTCTCAGGATCTTGGGCATGCACATACATGTACCCGGAGTGAGTTTAAGCCACTGGGTCCAGGACTCGAACCACAGTTGACAACATGGGAGTCCAGCGACATAGGTATTATGCCAACTGCTGGTCCCAGTAGAGACTTTCAAACAAAAATAAAACACAGTAGGATATATTTTCTGGGCAAAATTAGATGGCTATAACAAGCCTAGGGGAAAAAAGTGTTAGGATGAAGATAATCTGACTCTCAGAGAAAAATGTGTTTATGTATCTTTTTAAAATGATTGATGGTGGGTATCAAAATCACTTTGTTTTTTTAGCTTTTTGAATACATTTACAAGAGTTAGCTAACAGTTTTATTTCAAAATAGCAATATTTATACCACATCAGAAATTACATTATTTGTAACTATTTACATTTTTTATGTTTTCAAAAATTTAGATGTCAACTTCAAAATGTGTGAGCTGGATGACAGCTTTTCAAAATTTTTTAGGGAAAACTAGAACCAAGACTTTGTAGATCCCTGCTCTACCCACAACATGCAGCCTGGTCAAGTTGAGTGCCACCTGTATGCCCTAAGACAGGAGGGAGCCCACACCTGGTAGAGAGGGATCAGAAGAACAAGATTAGTGTCTAAATATGACAAAGACCCAGTGACCAAAAGAGAGCGAGATCTCAGGAGGTATCCAAGCTTCTGCTCTTCACTGCTAGGAAGACCAGTCCAGGCAGAAGTTTGGAAGGAGGGAGGATCTGGAAGAGGGGGGGTGGGGTAAGGCAGAGAATGAGTAGACCAGCCAGGAAAGAGTAAGAAGTAAGAAATAGTCAGCAAAAAGAAGACTGGAGGGCCACCAAGTTATGGCCTTGGACCCTGGACCTGGTCACATAGCCAAAATGCCTCTGCACAATTCTGACCTCACCTGAGAGCCTCTTTAGGAAGAAGGTGTGCCAGCTGGGTGAATGCCAGACATAGAGTGTGGCAGGGAGAGGCAGGGGGACCAGAGCTAGAAGCTATTCTCTGGTCTGTTCATGGAGGACTCTTGGCCCTTTCCGAGTGAACACTCGGAGGCTGTTTGGACATCCAAATGCCCATCTGTGCTGTTTCATCAGCTCTGGGAAATCCAGACCTGATCTGCTCTCTAGAACAGTGTTCTCATCCAACATTTTTTTAGAGAGATTTTTCCTATAGAACACATGTGCTCACCAGAGAGACAGAAAGCAAGAAATCACCCCCTCCCCCCCCCAGGGGGATGGCCATGCTGCAATCCCTTCTCCTCCTTTCTCCTCTTGGGATTTCAGGCACACACACACAAGAACCCAGCATGAGTTTCAAGCCTGCAGATCTGGGACTTGAACCACAGTCAGCCACATGGAAATCCAGCAATATAACCACTATATCACCTGCTGGTCCCCCAACATTTATTGACCATCTATAACATGGGAGGCATCAGGACACAGGGCCAATGTCATCATTTACAGTCAAGCGGGCTATACATGCACTCTCAATAAGACTAACAAAACTTCCAGCAGGCCCAGCCACAGTGGTGCAAGCAGAAGGGCACCACTGTATGATGGCTGAGGTCACAAAGGAGGAGCAGGTTTGGTTCCCAGCCCATCCTAAATAGCACAGGTGCAATGGTGTGTGCCTATGGTCCTAGCTAGCTGGGAGGCTGGGGCAGGAGGATCACAACTATCAAAAATACCTACTTGTCTCTATCCCTCCTGCGAGCTCTAAAACAACCTTCCAGTAGAGGTTTCACACCACTGCATTGACCAAAGATCACACACCTTTAAAGAGAAGCAGAAGGAAGGACCAGCAGTTAGCATAATGGCTATGTTGCTGGACTCCATGTAGTCGACCGCAGTGCGTGTCCCAGACTCAGTGGTTGAACTCACGCTTAGCACATGTGCGTGCGTGCACGCCCAAGATCCCCAGAGGAGAATGGAGGAGAAGGGGGTGCGGCGTGGCCATCCCCCTGGAGGGTGATTTCTCACTTTCTGTCTCTCTGTCTCTTTCTGGCGAACGCCCTACAGCAAAAACCTCTCAAAAAAAAAAGAAAAAAGGGAGAAGCAGAAGGAGAGTGAAAGAAGCAGCAGCTGTGCTGCCCCTGTCCCAGCACCCTGCCCCCTGCCCCCTGCCCCCTGCCCTCTACCCCCTGCTAGGAGCTCTTCCCCAGTCAGTGCAGGAGCAGCAGTTCCACTGGACCAGGAGATGGGAAATGCGCAGTGAGTGCTTTTAGGTTGCAACAGCCAAAGCTGACTCTGCTGTCTTCAGTAGCCCATGTGTTCTGTTTTACCCAAATTGGATGCACTCTTTTCCTAAACTGGATGAGTCATTAGACCCAGGAGCTCTGGGATATGACTGTCCCCTAAGTTAGGGTGTTAGCTTTGTCCCCTCTCATTCAGTGCATATGTCTTCACTCCTAAACCCTGGGCCTAAGGGCACCTGTGAGGCAACCTGAGCACCAGGTAACAAGGTCCTACATCTGTCACCCAGGTGGCCCTAGGAGTATTCCCTGTGTGGTTACATCAAGCCAGATTTCCCCGAGAGGGCACTTAGTCTGGGCAACAGGTGGGAGGCATCAAGACCACAGCTAGGCCTCGAAAAAAGAAGGTGGCTATGTTGCCCCCTGCAGCAGAGGAACCTGGAAGCTCTGTGGATCTAGGGTCCAAGGAGTAGGCTACAGCTAAAGGACCAGGACCCTTGAGCAGGGTTTGCTTGCTACATCTGCCCTCCTCTGAGGCTGGGGGATGAGGGCTGCTACAGACTTTGTGTGGTGCCCAGAGAGAGAGCTCGAGGGGAGCTGCCCCTGCCACACATCTGTGAGATGTCTTTTCTCCAACTCCAGCCACCTCCACCCCACGTCACCCCACCTTGGCTATCAGTCTGAGCTTTCGAGCACTCCAAGGAAGGGTACAGACTGCACTTGATTTTTGATTAAGTTGGCTTAAGTGGGCCCTAAGATCAGTATTCTGAACAGGGTGAGCCTGGAAGCAGGGACTTGGCCCAGCACCTGCCCCAGCTCCCAGCCTGAGGCTTTACTGTCCACCTGTTTCTCCAGTGACCTGAGTGGCCCTTACAGAGCCACAGCAATCTGACCCAAGGACAGAATGTTAGCAGTTAATGTCCCTGTCCACACTACTCCCTAGGACTTTGCAAGACCTGTGGCAAGCCCTGCCTCATTTATTAAGTGATTCTACTCTCTAAGGCACGGAGGTGGCGGAGGTGGCGGGAGGTGGTGAGATTACTACCTGTCCTCCTGAGGAAAGGGAGGGGGTGCTGTCCTAGTCCTTTGCCCCAACCCTCCACGTGCCCAAGTAGGGTGCAGACCCCTCCCTGGCTTACTACAGATGTTCAAGACACCCCACAAGAAGGGGCCCACCTTCAAATGGTCATGCCCACAGTGGCGGCCCACAGAGGCCTCCCACATGGCCTGCACAGTATCCCAGGAAAGGGATCCCAGAAGGACAGAGCCCCTGAGAATGCAGGAGGGGCATTCTGGCCCTTTGCTATGCTCATAGGAAAAAGAGGGTATCCGGACTGGTAGGGGCAGGGAAGGTCTGTCCTGGCTCTTCACACAACCACAGGCCCCAGCTTGGAACAAGGCTCACCTGGTGCTGAGGAAAGTCTACCCTAGTGGGGTAGTAAAGGGGTTAATCAAGACTCAACAGGAGTGCCAAATAGGGAGGGGGTGAACTACATTCTTTGGGTTTTTGTTGGCCACCCAGAGGGCTGGCCGGCAAGGTGTGTGACAGTGAATCTGTAACTGATGGCCTCCACGAGCTTCCATGGTGCCTTAAGGCAAGCGAAGGGGCATCCAGGCCCCTCTGACCAAGGTGGAGTTTCCTGCCACACTCTGCTGGCCCCTTGCCGAGCTATGCCACCCCCCCCCCCCCCCCCCCCCCCCGCCGTTAGCGCCCAGACTGGGCGCCACTGCAGAGGCCACCCCCAGCGGGGACTGCGGCAGCCCCGCCCCTTGGCCAGCCGGGGCGGGAGTTGGGGGGAAAAGAGGGCAGGATTCCTTAGGAAGTCTGCAATCCGCCGGGCGCTGTCCTTATTAAGGTGGGCTCTGAACCCTCGACACTCCGTGTGCTCAGGTGGGGCTCAGACCCCGGCGGCTATTCACGGCGCCACTCAGAACAGTGGCCACACGAAGTGGCTCCGCCCCCAAACGGTCACGTCCCGTTCAGTCCACCGCCCCCGCTGCATCCCCCAGAAAGGGGCCAACGTCCCCGAGGAGCCCAGTCCCTGAGAACGCCCGCGGAGCCCTCAGGCGTCTCCAAGCGCCTGCCAAACGCTCCAGCCCTCGCGCGCGGCGGCCCCCGCCGCCCCC